CTCAGGCGACAGCCGAATCCACCATCACTAAAATGCGCTCGTCCTTCGCTACGTTTGGCATTCCGGAAACCATTTGTACAGACAATGGTTCGCCTTTTACCAGTGCCGAACTTGGTAAATTTGTCGCCAACAACGGAATCCAACACGTTAAATCAGCCCCGTATCACCCAGCATCAAACGGATTAGCGGAGCTTGCAGTACAAACTGTGAAACAAGGCTTACTAAAGCAGCGAACGGGAACATTGCGAACAAAACTGGATCGGTTCCTATTCTCCTACCGTTCTACACCCACTGAGGCTACCGGGAAATCCCCGGCGGAATTGATGTTTGGCAGAAATCTGAGAACGAGGCTTCATTTGTTGTTCCCGAACCCGCGTGTTGAAGTACAGGAGCGTCAGAAAAAGTTTGTGTCTTCAGAGGAATCAAAGCCAGAAGTTACATTTCAGGACCATCAACCTGTTTACACCAGGTTACCGCATGAACAATGTTGGCAGCCGGCGACTGTGCTCGATTCTTCAGGAAGTCAAAACGAGTTGCAGCTTCCGGACGGCCGGGTTGTTCGCCGGCACTCAGATCATGTACGCCCCAGGAGCACTGACACACCTGCCGTGAGTCAGTCACACTCGGAGATCGCAGAGCAAGCTGCAGAACACGACGAACAAAGAACAACAGGGGAAACTCAATTCCGCCGATCGACCCGGATTCGCAAACCGATCGAACATTTCCGGCCATGACTGTAACGTCAGCCAAAACAGGGAGGACTGTTACGTGTTCAACCAATAATCGCTCACTATGACCGTGAACCTGATTGGCCCTACACACACACGTAGATAAGCACGCACACACGCACTCAAGGACACACCCTAATGTTCCGCGTTCACATGTAAACCGTCAAGTGTTCAGTACACTGTGCGCCAGACTGACGCGTCTTCTTGCTTATTCGCTACGACTTGAAATACGTACTTGCGGTTAGAGTCCAGCTGTGATAGTCCTTCAATCCAAGTCCAATACAATTAGAGGTAGCTTGACAGACGATCAAAATCAATGGAGTTCCACTTGTACGGTGATCGGTTTACCATGTTGATCCAACGACGTCAACATGCATCGCGCATCACCCAAATGCAGTTCACTACGGTAAAGCCCGGTAACTAGGGTAAGACTAAAATCCGCAGTGCCTCAAGTGGAGTGCGCATACTACCTGAAATCCCGTGGAAAGGACTTACACCGGATCCCACTAACAGAGAGGAACAGCAGAAGTCAAACTAAGCAAACTGTGCTCGCTCACGGTGTCTCTGAGTACAGATTCCTCTTCCGAAGATGCTCAGCTACACTACCGGGAGCAGTGGCATTACATCCGTGAGGTTCTTGCTCTCGAAAATGTCGTCGCCACTTCATTGACAAGGATCCCTGTATCACCGAACTACAAGCGGTGCGATCCAAGACTGTTGAAGCTGTTGTTACAATCAGAACTAAGGGCACAAATACTTCTAAAGCATTGGACTAAATTCTGTAGCAGGTTGCCAACAAAAATTCATCTGAAAGCAGCAAGCACACTACCACCATTTAAGGAAAACCTAGTGAGGACGCAAATGTCAATGAAAACATCAACTGTATGACTCAACTCGGTGATCGTTTCAACAATATCCAGAATACCCGAAGGAACACATCGGAGCACGAGCAATCACCGGGATCCGTGGCATCTGATACTTGAATACATGCCATATTTTTCTCCAGAGCCTGCAACCGATCCAAGAAACGATTAGCCGACGACACTTCATCAGTCGGCGTAACAACACTCACTTCATCCATCACAACCAACACAATATTGGTCGTTGTGAAGCGCTCATGTATATATATAAATGCCCAAGGCCTACTCAGCAGCTTGGGATCTCCTCGCTATCACAGAAACATGGCTGCGCTGTGAGATAACGGGTCAAAATCACGCTAACAGTATATCTTTCGTCCGGAATGATCTAGCCAGCAAAGGTGTTGGGGTAGCCCAATATTTTCGTAACAATCTGCAGTACGAACCCATACACTATTCGGAAACCGATGTACATGACTCCATTTGGTGCAACATCCGGCTGACAGAGAATGATCTGGGCCTAATGGCTGTTGTTTATCGCCCACCATCGTCTACACCTGAGATGGACTGCAACTTGGTGGCTGCCTTGAGACAGATGATAAACAGGAAGTACAGTCACGTTCTAGTTGCCAGCGATTTCAACTAATATGCTCTAGAATCCCAGGCCACACCAGGAGAGCAATTCAAAGGAGACCTGCGAGTTCTTGTCTCAGACTTTCCGCTTTATTGTCATGTCACTTCACCTCCCAGATTCAGGGGAAATAACAGGCCATGCATAGTGGATGGGATATTCACTAAAGAAGAACTGACAATCCAGGGATTGATAATCAGTACTCCTATAGGCCGCAAAGATCATGCGATTGCATTTCATGTACACTTTCTATCCTGAATGCCCCAAGGACATAACTCAAACGACTCGAACCATTAGCAGTTACGACACTTTAAACCCGACTAATTGAAGCGACCGACTGGAGTTTCCTAACCGAGGATGCACCCGATATTGCCTTGGAACTTTTCATCAGTAAGTCTAACACATTGGTTAGTGGAGCATTAGAAACTCAGGCTTTCAGTTCGAGAAAGTTGGCGTCGTTTATACGGAGTAGGAGATCCAAATGCATGGTGATGCGCAACATGGTATGATATACCCACAAAACCGATCTGAGTCCGAGTACCTAGAAGGACTATGTTGTCCATTTCAACCACTGTATTCAAGTAGTGTGCGAGGACAAAGTAGCTTATTAAGATGCTTTAGCCGAGCGATTAACTTCAATTCCTAAGCTTCTGTACAAGCACTGAACCGCCTCCGCAAGGTGAAATGTGGATGTCCCCTCTTCAAACAGTGGATGGTCTAACTCGGACTGCTAAAGGAGCGTCGAATGTTCCGCAACAATCAAATGCATCAACGTTTCGTTGCATCCCGTGGTCTCCTAAATCTTTGGAAGCTATGGTGCCCACACCAGGACTCACTCGTATTAATTCTACGGCAGATATTGTGATGAGAATGCTGCCATCCAAGCGCTTGCACGCCTGTCCAGGAAGAAACGGCATCCGCCCAAAACGCTTGCTGTGGCGGCTACTCTTGTGGCTGAAGCTTTGGCGCGGCTGCTCCAGCATTGCCTTGAAGAGCAGCACATTCCTGCAAGGTCAAAACGCAGAATAATAACTCCCATTTACGAAGGGGGTAGTCATTCGGACCCAGCTAATTATCGACCAGGGACTCTATTGCCAATTCTTTCAGAAATTATGGAGGCTATCATTGCCGATGCACTCATGTCTTATCTGGACGGCTGTGGTTACATTGCTGAGCAGCAACACGGAGCATCGTATCCTTTTCGGTAAACTTCAAGTATGTGACATTGGGGATCCTCCCGCCGGGTGGCTCTACATTTTTCTTTCGCATAGACTGGAGGTGAGAGTACGTGAATCCATGTCAGACCCAATTCACGTCGAATGAGGTGTGCCACAATGTTCGGTATCGGAACGCCGTCTATTCTAATGAGTCGAATTGCGTCAAACTGTTTACTCTACGCCGATGACGTCAAAGTTTGGCGAGGGATCAGAGCTCCAGAAGACCGTACGCAGCTTCAAATCGACCTTGACAGGATTTATGGATGGTCGGTCCAAAATCGCCTTATTTTCAATGTGGCTAAATGTCGAGTGCTTCATTTAAGACCCCGCGTGATTCATACATATAAGCTGGGGGACCAGGATCTGCAACCCTGTTCTCTCGAAAAGGATCTCAGTGTGTTGGTCCAAGAAGATCTCGGCTTCTCGGAGCAAGCCAAAAAGGCATCGAAGAAGGGGATCCAAATCGTGGGGCTTTTACGCAGAGCTTGCGGGCAATTCGAACCGTCGATTTTCCGCCAAATACATCCCGCTAATATACGCCCACATGTTGAATATGCAATTCAAGCACGGCAGCCATGGCAAAATGGGGATCTCATGGTCTTGGAGATTCCGCAACCTCGGACGAGCAAAAATGTCAAAGGGCTGCTCCACTTGTCATACGAACAACGCTTCAGTGTTTGGCATTTTCAGCGGACGTTATCGGCGTTTACATGGCGACCTAATCATAACTTAACAAAGTTTAAACAACGCTAATCACCCTTACCATCACCTGTCGAAGCTGAGTCACAACAACAAACTGAGAGGTCATCCTCTCAAATGAGTAGAATAATATAGTCGGTTGGAGTGTCGTAGAAAGTTCTTCTCGCTATGTGTTTGCCTTACGTGGAATACCTTCTCAGAAGCTGTTATTTCAGCATCCACGTTAGCCGTGTTCAAAGCACGTGTCGACGGTGCACTGGCGGTACAACATCATACCACCTAACCCAAATACCAATAAAAACAGCAAAAAAAGCAAATTAACCCACCCTCATTTTTGTCCAGAAACCACAGAAGATAATCTTGGGTAAAACATAAAATTAAGTGTGAACTGCTCAGACGGGAACATTTTTAACGGGCAATTTCACACTTTACGGTTGTTCACTATTTCCTAATGTTATTTTTGCCTTCATTTTGCTTATCCCAAACCGATCATCCGGCGTGACATTCCAAAGTTCGGCTATTTTTGCCTTGGAACATATCACTGATCATTAACTAGAAGACGGCAAGCTTTTTACAAACATCCTATTTGTCGTCATTCCCTATGGATTTACAGCGGATTACAGTTTATAATACGTATACGAAGGTGAGTGCACCGCCAGTTTTGCTATAGTTTGCGTGTTCACCAAAGCCATCCTAAGGGACCTGTTAAGTTTCAACTTTTTAATCGTATAAAACCATCGTTCCATTGTTCCATCTAAGATCGTGGTGGGACCATACTACTTGTTTGTAAGCCAGGGATTCCTCAGGATATCTCCTTTCCCTAGCATCCAGCTTGGGCATAAGATGTGTGCGAATAGATCACGATGACTCACTTGAGAAGATACACCTGTGTTGCATTATCCCGCCTCCAGTTACTGAGAATTGTCTGAACTGAACGTGTTGCTTTTCTCCTCAAATTCGCCTGAAATGGGGTAGCGAAAAGGATAGGGTACTCACTTTCGTCTCGGTGCAGATCTCGCTCATCGGGGAATACTACCAATGCACATTGAACCGTGATTTATCATGGGTTAAAGAACTGGTGCTTGACAAACCCTGTAAGATGGTTGGGATGGAAGCCACAGTATCAAAAGATATGCTAATCATCTGTTTAAACGGCTACCGAGCTAAATGAGTTGATAACTAAGGAGAATGTCAAATAAAAATTGAATGCAAACATACAGGACAACATGATGCGCAGTGATAGTTGGTGTAAAGTGTAAGCAAAATAATAGTAGGGTCACTCACCCATGTACCGCCTCCTTGGGCCCATGTGACACATAAACCCGGTAAAAGCGCATGATTAATGCAATCCACATTAGAGCAGATTAGGTAACGAAGTGCTGGAAGCTAAGAGATACCTCTAATAGTTTATTAATATTCACATTAGGAGGGGAAACAAGTGTGTCTGGGAGAGTGTTCCGCGGTAGGCAAGCCAGAAAACTTATTCCATGGACATTCTAGAGGGCTGTATTGTTCACTCTGAGATTAGCATCTAGCTTTCTGTAGCTTCCGTTGCAAACTCCCAGCAACTTCAGCCTTTTCTGATAAGAGTAACCGCGCAGACCCTTCACATTCTTTGTTGCCCTGCGTTGTTTTGACTCTATCACCTCTAGGCCGCGTTTCAACCAAGGTTGCCGAGCTTGAATGGCGTATTCAACGTGAGGGAGCACATAGGAATTGTGCGTCAATGAGAAGTTTGATGGGTCAAATCTCTCAAACGATCTTCGCAGCACGCCGACACGGAGGTTGTTTTTTTTCGCAACTACCTCAGCTTGTGCGAAACCGTTACGGTCACTCTGTACGAGCACGCAAAGGTCCCGTTCCTGTGAGCTGGTCTGCATTCTGTGTGCCCCAAGCGAATACGTGTAGTTAGATTTTTGGGTTAATTGAGCAACGCGAGATTTGTCTATAATGAATGGTACAGCATTCTGAACTGACCACTTCGAAACTATGCTAAAGCCACGCTGGAGCCGTCCGTGGTCGTACCGTCCTCTTATGGTTCGTCATATCTTGATATCATCTGCGAAGAACAGGAAATCGGAAGCAATTAATTTCACTAGATTGTTTATGAAAACCAAGAACAGACAAGGCCCTAGTACCAAGCCTTGTGACTCACCGTACGCCACATGTGTTGACTCGGAAAGCGATTCCCGAAAGTTCATCTTCAACCAACGTTTGTGTAGAAAATTGTCTATCCAACCCAAGCTTTGTTTGCGATGCCATAATTCCAAAGCCTGTGAAGGATACTTCAATCGCCTAAGTGATTGAACAGTTTTAAGAAGTCCGATTGACGACATTAACTCCCGCTCCAACAGTAGCTGCCTCGGTCCAGCTGATGCGTGCAATTATTAGGTTCGTGATATATGAGCGATTCTGGTGGAAGCTATGTTGCTCCGGGGCTAGCATACTGTGGTTTTCCAAATCCTGCATCAGCTCATATTTGATGATGGATTCCATGAATTTGGAAAACACATGAAGCACCGTTATTGGACGGTAATTGGTAGAGTTCGTGCGGCTACCTTCCTTATGAATGGGAGTGAACGCTCACTTCCAGAAATATATATATATATATATATATATATATATATATATAACTGACCAGTAGTACAACTGGCAGAGTGCCAAGATGTATGGATATATGCAATAAATGCAAGTGAGAAGGGGAAAAAGTGCAACATTGAAGTCTTACAACCTGTCCGATTTTTGTGCGGTTCTTTGTCATGTCCTATAGGGTTTCCAGCAATATGTCATGGTGATCCTTGCGCTCTCAGTTAGGCAGCCGATGGAGCCTGATCGCGACTAAACTTGAGGTCAGCCCCTTCATATTTTGGCCTAACTCATAGCCACATTTCTTTGCTTCCACCTGACTTTTGGGTGCGCGAAGAGCGCAAGTCGGTGTGAACGCTCAGTAGATGTGTGATCAACCCACCAAAGCCTGTGCAGAAAAAGTATGCTGCTCATCGGACGCCAAAATACGTCAGATGTGAAATCCGCAGGTCTGCTGATGCTCCTGTATTTGACAAAGCGTAAAAGTATGATCGGTACACCTCCGGCCGCATCGCAGCCCAGCTTTCCCTTTGCGTAGGTTCTGTTCACCTACCAGTCCGTGCTTTCGTAAAACCAGTGCGGCGAGCATTTTGGATGCAAGCCAGATGAAAGCCCTCCCTCTGTGCTTAGCGCAGTTTGTCGACACACCTTTCTAAAGGCGGCCAGGATATTTGATAGTTTCTAATCAGATGGGGTTGCTTCGCTGAGATAATCCACTTGGAGGAGGGAAGCAAACTCCCGAAAAAGAGATAGACCTCCATCTTTGAGAAGAGTCGGAGGGAGTTCGTCTGGTCCAGGGTCTTTGTTGCGCTTTAGAAGGTGAGGCTCACCAGAAACCTCAGTCGCAGATGGTGGTGAAGCGCCCAAACACAAGGCAACCCTCTTAAGTTTGTCCTAGCGGGTGGCGCTACGCAGTTAAACTGCTCTGCACAATGCTGGACCCAACGCACAAGTCGACGATGTTGACAATGGATTAGCTCACCATTGGTTACGCACGAAACTTCGCTTACGGCCGGTCTTCAGCTTTTAGCGAATCGGATCAGGAGGAAAAATTTCCGAAAACCGAGGTGTTACCGTTTACTCTAACTTAACGAACACCGTCCACCGGGCCACGTGATCCTTCCGCAGAAGTTGTTTCCGTTCAGCGTTGGTGTTCCTGTGCAGTTAATGGAACGCAAGACCAGCAGGAACTTTTCGACGAGCCTTGCGAAGCTAGTGGAGCCGTGCAGTGATCCAGTGTTTGACAGGACTATTGGTGAAAGCAGAAACCAGGGTTGCGGAACTAATTATTATCTGTTAGTACGAAACTGTGCTTGAAGCGCATTTTGTCGAGGTTTGTGCATTTTTGTATTGCCATTTGCAAGTAAGTTGTGCTTGAACCCAAATCCGGTATTTTTTGTTGCTTTATGGTGGTCGGCTCAGTCTTAAATTAAGGTAACATAGTGTCAGACTGACGCACCTGAAAAGTCAAACAGCAAATTACAGCCCTTTCATTAAGGGATCCAATGCAGAGGCCGTTAGGAACAATGAAAATTAGCCAGAATCAGCACAACTGTCACATATTTCTCCTCATCCATCGAACATCGTCGTAGTCAATCATGTGTGTTCCCGAACAGTGGGTCAGTTGTCTATAGGAATCACGTAATACATACTTTCCCGTAAAAAGAAGCGTTTGTGAATACGAAAATAGACACTGAGCTTTTGATGATTTAAATGGTTCATCGGTATAACTCATAAAATCAAATTTAACTCACTAGTTTCAATGCCTTCTTTCGTAATTCCCACTCATTCCATTCGTAATTTGTGTCAATGTAGCTCTCGATAGGATGAACCTCGGTTTGCATCTCAGCGTCCACTTGTCCGTAGGGTTTCTCAATAAACGAAGCATCCTGTTAGATGACAAAAGGGTTGGAGTAGTTTGTGAGCCACTTTAAACGTAGTAGTGAGTTTCAGTCCTAATTCGTTTCTTGAAGCACATATAATACAACCTTGCAACTGACCTACCCGTGATCCCGAGACTGTTTTGGAATTACTTTGTCCGATTTTGAGGAATTGAATTAACTCCGGTAAGCGTCTCATTATTTCAGGGAGTGCGCTCAACATACTAAAAAGCGAAAAAGTAATCTGAAGTGTGAAAATAAAGGTGTAGAAACCAGGTAGGTAGGAAAATAGTTTAGTGCGATTGGAATTTGAGCGGGTAGGAGGTTGTTTATATGAAAGGCGTAGTGGGTCTTAGTCGTAACTACGCAAGTACCCATTCGATATCAGTCCCCAGCGGCTGACTTGGTCACCATTGTATCCCACTACTGACGCCGGAAAACGTTGTGTCGGGTCCAACGACTGTTCACTCGCTAACGGTAGTGAGATCACACACTACACGGAACAAAGTTCAGGATTCTTTTCATAGGGAAACGACAAGAAACCGGTTGTGGGGCGTCCGCGTTGGGAAAATCAACAACGAAAAGGCACTGTTATACAGCGTGAGGCGCCAATATAAGAAGCAATCAAAGCACTGGAAGCGTGCGAACAGACGAGGCCTCTAAGGGCCGAATAAGTAAAGAGTCAATCAATTTCATACAAGAAAAGGTGATAAGGTTAGTGTTAGACCGGAACTGTGATACAAATCCAAAAACAGTGAACACAAAGAACTAATAGCGCTAACGAAACGGGTTTCACGATGAAAGCGTACAAGAAAATTACGTACAGCAAAAAGCGTACACGAAAAATGTGTACGCTTTTTTCGTGTACACACTTTGCTGTACGCAGTTTTCGGGTACGCTCTTTCGTGTACGGTTTTATCCGGTCAACATTCACTCTTGGGCTACGCGCGTACTGAGAATTCAAACATAGGGAGCTTGGTCTATAAGTTAACACGGTGAAACAAGCTGACATTTTACATCAGGTAACGCAGGAACTAAGGGCCACGAAATGCATGGCATGTATGTAAACGGTTGACATTCTGTGATCAGCACAAATTCGGGGGACCTGCTCTTCTTGATGATTTACACGAGTAACTATTGAAACTGTGGATGCAGGAAACTGTTCCCACCCACTAGAGAGGCTCCGTCATAATCCCAACATTTCAAGGGACGCTCACGATCGGAATACGACAAGTATAGAGGAGTCAGTCTGACCTCCATGGTCTCCAAATTGTTGGCCACCGTCATCCTTCACAGACTGATTGGCGCTCGTGAAAGCCAGATTCTTGAGGAGCAAGCCGGGTTTCGTCGCGGTCGTGGCTGCATCGACCACATATTCAATTTGCGTCAATTATTGGAGCACCGTCACACATATTGGCAGCCCACCCTAGTCGTGTTCCTCGACATCAAAGGTGCCTTCGATTCCGTTAATCGATGTGCCCTTTGTGGCTGTCTATTCAGGAAACGTGTGCCCGAGATATATGTAAATATTATCCAAGCATTATACGCGCGTAGCTCAGGCGGAGTGAGGGCTTACGGCAAGCTGTCGCCGCCCTTTAATATCTCTAACGGTGTGAAACAAGGATGCCCGCTGTCACCTTTTCACTTCAACGTCACTATTGATGAAATCATGGAGATTGCATTTACTGGACACGATTTAGAAGGTGTGGAGCTACTTCCATGAGAACGACTTCTTGACTTGGATTATTCAGACAATATTGCCCTAACGTGCCAAGCTTCACTGGACAGGTTAACATTGGCTGTCCGTCACTACGGGCTTTGCTTCGCACCGTCGAAGTGCAAAACGTTCCTCCAAGATTGGCAGAGATCGGCTCCTTCGCTGACGCTTGGTGGGGAACAGTTAGAAGTCCTTCAAAAATTCAACTCCCAGGGAAGTTGTATCAGCGCCCGTGGGATTGAAGATGAGATCACGAACCGCATAGCAAAAGCTCAAAGCGCTTTTTCTAATCTTCGCCACATATGGCGCTGGCGCGACATCACTTTTGCCCTGAAGAGTAGATTGTACAATGCACCGGCACCTTCGACCCTACTGTACGGTTGCGAAACCTTCCCCCTAAGATCGGCGGAGATAAAGTGTCTAGTTACGTTCGACCACCGGTGCCTTCCCAGTTTGGCTCACATCTGGTGGGAACACCGCGTGAGTAACGAGCGTGTTCAACGCCTTGTTTACGGCACAGGGAAAGGAACTGAACCGCTCAGAACCGTTTTTCCGCACCAGGCTCCGATGGCTGGGCCACGTGTCACGCACGCCAGCCCACCGACTTCCACGATGTGCGTTCTTTGCTCACCGGGGATGTGGATGGAAGAAGAGGAGGGGTGGCCAAGCGATGACTTGGTCCAGAGGAATGAACGTCCTCACTTCGGATCTGGCCTCGGCTGGAGCTTCACGGCTCCCTGGTTGGGGTCCAAATACAGTGAACACGTTTGGCTGGATACACTTGCTGACATGGCTAGGAGCAGACCTCATTGGTGTTCGTGCTGTGAGTTTCTTTGTCCCACCTCATCCCTCTTAGCCTTCCCTCCAAAGACGAGCTCACTACTAGGCCTTATATAATTTTGCGTCGTAAATTCTTTGCTGCATAGTATCCGGCAGGTAGCTTACCCGAACGATGCCCATCCGTTGCTGGTAACTCAGCCGGCGTGGGACTGTTGCATTTTATTTTCTTTTACGTATTGTGACACAGTAGCTGAGGTGCTTCCCACTAGCTAACGTGCATAATGATGATGACGATTATCAGGACAAAAGAACCATTAAGCGCTTAAAAAGGAGACGTAACCTGTATGTTAGGGAATCAGACTTCACTTTCGGTCTGCATAACTCAATCCCCGAAGCCTAAAGCAAATGAGTGAGAAATCCACAACTAACATTAGGAAGGGCTTGGATCAAAATGTCTCACATACCGATCCATGGCGAGGACAAAATCTTGTACTGCCTCCGCGGAGCTGAAAGCATACATTCGATTTTCCGATGGGATGAATAAGCAACCCAAAGAGAGATCCGGACGAACCAGCAGGCCTTGGTATTTGATTAAGGACCACGCACAAAAACCCTGCGATAGAGGCAGACGGAGGCAATGTTCTTTACAATACGCATGCAATCAAACATGTGTCACATATTTTAGCGAGAGAAGGATGCACTAATTCACTTACATTGAACTCAATGTTCAGCTTGCTTATGTCTGTTTGCGGATCTGGAAATATCCATGTGAAATTCCCTTGCTCCGCCTCGGAGATGGGTCCATGTTTCTGAAAGGAGGTTGTGAAGTATTTGAACTCTCAGAAAAGTCAATACTAAGAGGCACTAGCAAAATCCTCAAGCCAACTTTTGCGTACTGAGCATTAAAAGTGTAACTAATCCTTTTCCCAGTAAACTGCATTCACAGCGGAATCAAATTATCATATAGGTGAATTATTTTTCACCGTAGATCAAGCAAAGTAATTCTAAGGACAATCAAATTAGATGTACACTACCCTAACTGAGTTTTTCCTTTGAGCGGCTAATTCTTAAGCAGCCAATGTCACAACAGACAAGCGTACGGCAGGGGGTGCACGGGTGCGGGGATGCCGCACGTAGGTCTGAGTACAAATCGGACCTACTTGCGGCATCGTGAGATAAGGCGTAGATTGATCAGACTTTGAGCAGTGTTTACGCCGTCCGACAATCAAAGTCCACAACGACTTGGCTACGCTGAACCTACGTCCACGCAACCTAAGAGACATGCTCGTCAAACTCACGTGGTACGACCTATGCTTAGTGGTGGCCACGTTTAGTCGGGAGTACATACTAGTTCGGTCTGCTTTAGGCAGCCTTGCAGGCAGTTACCCGTCAATGTGGCTTGTGCTATGTATGTGCGGTGTTCCCAGTAGCGTAGCAACTAACTTTACCGCCCGGGGCTGTGGCAAAAATTTCGCCCTGCCTGAGGGCAGTATAGGGGCATGAAGGCCACATAATCGGCTCAGAGTAAAGTGCACATTAGTTTTCGATGAAATGGATGATCGTTTGGGACACTGAGGTAAATGTGGTGAAAATGACCGCAATGTGACCACTAAGGAGGTTGCTGAGAAAAACATTTGCACAGGTGTATTGCGCGAACGTGTTATTGATCATGCGGAGTAACACTGAACTCTCCAACTCTCAGCTTATCCGGATATTTAGCCCCAATATTTCTGGTGTGAAAAAATCAATGGTACTACGACTGCCGCTCCCACATAGCAGAGACCGAGGGACCTAGCCGGTCGGAAGAGTGACTGTGGCTAACGCACCGTTGTGGAGGATAGACTGGCATGCAAGTTTGGCTAATGGTGCCATGGGGTGGTGAGAGATTGTGGATGCAACTGGCTAAGAAAAGGTGCAAAAAACCAATGTGAGGTGTCTCCAAAGATGACATATAAAACAGACTAACATTTCAGAAGGGTCGTTGCTATCCGTTTATTCAACCACCCTCTACTGCGAGTAATGTAAACGTTGTTGGGTGTGATGCAACAGGACAGGAATATCCTGTTCACAGCCTGTGCATGTCCATGGACGTAGGAGTGGATGTGCTTGTTTCACTGTGTCCCCGTTTTGCATGTTTCATGAAACACTTGTTCGCAACCTCAGTGAGTTTTTGAGCAATGTATAAAGGCGCTGCAGCTTAGTTACTATTTCTTTCGTAAGCTAGCGAATTTGAAAACGGAGGAAAATGAGTCCGATCAAGGAGCCGCCCTTCAAGAAGGAAAGAGACTTTATATGCAACTGAGCAACAGTTGACTGTTTCGAGGAGGCCGCAATGAAGGCGCCGACTTCGAGCAGTTCGCGTCCTATTGATTATATAATTGCGGAGACAAGTACGTTAGGCGCATTGATCGAAGACTGGCTGTCCGGATCGAGGAACACAACCCAAAGTGATTCAGTGAACAAATAGAATGGCTGTTGAACTGTTCGCTGAGCTTGGCAACTTGGTTGCAAAAGTTTCGTCACCAATCGAGGTGACATCATCAGTGCGTAGTTGAGTGGCATGCAATAGCGTAGAGTAGCGTAGAGGAGCCTCGGTGAGAGTGCGCTGAGCGTGGTGTGCGTGCGTTTTTATACCGTCGTGGTTGGCCGTGTAGCCGAGCAATCCTATTGATTGGGACTTCGATCCGCGTTCCGTTTGCTTAATGGGCAGATGACCTTTGACCTCGCCTCCTTTGTCTGCTTGCACTCGCGAGCGAGTCTGCCGTCAGTTCTGGTTGTCTAGTCACACGTTCCACCGGATTCAATCGATCGAGTTGGCGGTCGTTCATCAGTAGTGTGGCGTATACTGCGTCCAGTTCGATGTGTCGATTGATTACATGCGTTGTAGAGTACCAGGCTTCCAAAAACTCCCTCGTGTTTTGTGCTTCCATGTGCTAGAATCTTTACATTCTCCAGATCGAAATGGTGACCTTCTTGATCTTCATGCGCAAAAACCAATGAGTGTGGATCATGCCTTCTGACGGCCGCCTTGTGTTCCGTGATTCGTGTACAAAGTTTTCTTCCAGTTTGTCCGACGTAGATTTTATCACAGTCACTGCATTTTAGTTGGTAGATGACATTGCATTGGTCGGCTTGATTGGCTTTTCCTTTGGGCCTTGAGATCAATTTCCTTAGGGTGGCACTTGGCTTGTGAGCCACAGAGATTCCATGTGATTGCAACAATCTTCCTGTTAGTTCGGAGACGTTCTTGATGTAGGGCAGCACTATCGGTTTGCTTGATCGATCAGATGACTGCTGCTGCTGTTGCTGAAGCATTCGTTTCTTAAGCTTCTTCTGATGAAACTTCTCGGATAACCGTTGTTTCTAAACACTCGGTATAGGTGATGTTCTTTCTGTTTCCGCGATTCGGCTGTGCTGCAGTGCGTTTCCCCTCTTTTGAACAAGGTTTATACGCAGCTCTTCTTGTGATTCATCGGGTGATTGCTGTGGTAGTTTAATATCTGGTCCGTATGCGTTTTCTTCCGATATACGCACGTTTCCACCGATCCATCTGTATTCCTAGTGACCAGTACATCCAAAAATGGTAGCTTGTTATCCTCCTCTAATTCAATCGTTAATTTGATATCCTCGAATGTGTTGTTGAGCAAATCGTGAGTGGCCTGTACTCTGTTGCGTTTTACGATGACAAACGTGTCGTCCACGTATCGTATCCAGAGTTTCGGGATGATATATGGCAGTGCAATGTGCTCCAATTTCTGCATTACGGCTTCTGCAATGAGCCCCGAAATTGGCGATCCCATGGGTGTTCCTCTCAGTTGCTGGTATACTTGTCCATCAAAGCGGAAATAAGTGATCATGCAGAGGTTCAGGATTTCCCAAAAGCTTTCAGGTCGTATGGTTGTTGTGGGGCTTAGTTGATGCTCAAGTAGTTTCAGCATGGTTTGTTTGGCCAATTCATGACTGATTGAAGTGAATGAATTACAAAGGGCACTTCGTGTTTCAGATTTTCACTTTGGTTACGGTGAGAAACTGCAGTTTATGCGGTAAGCTCCTACACTGGCAAGTTTCAACTTCATCGAACATGCGGTTCTGAAGTGGGCTACATTTTTTATAATTTGCTCATTCTCGCTGCTAATTGCTTTCAACATCATGCCTTATGTCCAATTTCATCCTTAGTTTGGCTTGACACAGAGATAACCGGAACTGGAAATCGGCTTCAAAGCCTAGTGTGCACCGATGGATGAGCTTAAAGCTAGGCAACAGGTTTCACGAAAAACGGTTGGATACTAAGTTTACATTGCTGGCTGAATGGAACGTGTTAATGGTGAACGCGTCTACCGAGAATCATAACCTTCCGGCTTTATTTCCGAACTCCGGCTCGAACATGGTGCCGAAAGGAACTTACAGGTACGATTCGCTTCGGGAAGGTATCTGTGTTCAGGATAACCGTCATCCGTAATGAATGGGATCACTCAGGTCTGTAAACTGAGTTTCGACCGAGTAAGGAGTGTCACTGAATCATGGTTTGTGGTTAAGCGAAGAAATCGCAAATTCGAAGACTGCACAAGCCGACATCGCCCGATCACTAGGACACATTCTCCAATGTCTCTCACAGATTTTAACAGATGTCATGAAGTGACTGGGGCTTTAATTCGGGCACTCGTTGCGCGGTCTGTTTAAGGAAGATGCGATCAAGCAGTGTTATAACACATAGCATGCAATAAACGTGATCAGTAGGGAGGAGAAAACAGGTATTCAGTTCAGTCTGGTACATGGATTTGGGCGTCCAGGCATAAGTGCACACTGCTGGCGATTCCCAAAAGGATGAAACGGCCCTGTAGTGCTTTTCCGGGTGCGTAATGGCTGTCTGGTTGAGTCTAGATGTGCTGAATTTCTACTTGCACCATAAGTTAATTCTCATTGACTGGGTCGCCGTAGAGCATTATAGCACAAACCAGTAGGGACAATAAATAAACAACAAGGGTCATATGTGCTAAAGACACACTGCCCAGTGACGACAAGTCGTTGCAATACCAACGTTGGAGATAACGTTGGTCTGCTACAAAGGAACAATGGTATATTACGGGCAGAAATGTGGACGCCTAAGAAGTCCTGTAGAATGACCAGAATGAAACCCACAAAATGATGAAAAGAAAACAGTGATAAAATGAAAATCGCTCTGGTGAACTCACCACAGTGTTTACAAAGAGGCATGCATAAAAGAGCCAACCTCTCTTGTTTACGTTATTCCTGATTGCATAATGTTCCTCATATTATACCGTCTATCGATGTACACAGCTTATATCTCGTAATGTGTGTGGATTATGGCAAGGTCAAGGTGTATGTCAAAAATAGGCAAAGTAGAAGCGGGAACAATGTAATTTGGAAGGGCATTCCATGGCTATCACACACTTGGAGAGTACAAGTTTCGCCGACATTCTAGCCAATTGTATTGCGTCGCCAACTTGAGCTGGTGGCACCTTAAATTCGTGTTGTGACTGAGTGGCAGTAGGTGGCGGCAGACGTGCTTAAAGTTCTTTAAAATCTGGTATGTCATAATAAGGTCGTTACGTAGGCGCCGACCCCGGCCGCTATACGATCTTAGTCCTCAGCCCAAGTTTATTTGGAAGTTGGAATAATCCTTTAAATTACTTGATGGCTCTTCGCTGTGGAGTCTTGAGTGCTGCGGGATGTTGCTTGTACCGTGACTGCCAGGTCTGGATTGCGTATTTCACATGAGGTCTAACGTAACTGCTTGGTAATTGCGAACAAACAGAGGGATCAAATGGCCAAAAATGCCGCGCACACAATCCCAACGATTTGGTTTACAATCTTTGACGCCTTCTCAGATTGTTCTAAGCAGCCAAGAGCAGTCTGGAATAATATCCCTACGTCGCACTCCTGGGTGACTGCTTGTAGGACATAGTCTCCAAGCTTGTATATGATGTTCGGCTTGTGAGGAATGTAGACCATTTTGCATTTAGACAAATTATACTGGAGCATATTTCCGAATGACCATTCGCTGAAGTGCATCGTGATTTGCTTGGTCATTGGTCACCTGCAAATCTTAAAATCACCAGACAACAGCAAAAAATGCGACGCACAAGTGCATAGTCTCGCTAATGAGCACGCGAAATGGTCGCAGCCTCAGAACTGATCCTTGTGGAACTCCACAATCGACGTAAATCGTATCAGATAGCGCACTTCGAACTCTAACCTCCACTTGCCGATTTCGCAGAAAATTCCTGATCCACCCAAGGACAGGATCCCTAACACTATAGCTTTTGAGCCTGTGAAGCAGATTACGGTGGTCCAGGTGGTCGAAGGCTTTGGAGAAGCCGAGGTAAATGACGTAGGTCTCCTGCATTTATTGGCCGCTTCTGTCAAACTACTGCGTGCAATCAGTAGGTTGTTTGTGCGTTAATTGTGCTGGCGGAAATCCGGCTGCTCAGATACTATGATGTTTTGGCCTTCTGATGGGTCAACTAAAGCCTCGGCAATAATTGATTCTATCAACTTTAAGAGAACAGGGACGCGGACCGCTGGGCAGTAGATGGCGGGTTCCGAGGTGCTACCAATTTTGAAAATTAGCGCGACTGTACCATGATTCCACAAGGTAGACACAGTTAGCTTATCCCAGCACGTTCCACGATAAGTCCCGTTCGAACGCCGTTTGACTGAGCTGCATACACACACCAAAAAAATAACTTATTCACAACTCTATGTGATGGTAAGACTTACACTTAGATGCCCGTCGCTTAGCGATCGGTCGAGCTTAACGATTTTGGGCCAACTGTCTGATAGCTGGTCGATCGCTGCAGAGGCGGACCGAAGGATAGCATATAATCGATTTGGATCGACTTTGAACGAAGCTCGAAGGCTGGCCAAGCATATAATAGGAAGGAGATTTGTTCTGTATCTGTGAGTGATTTTAATTAACTCGAGATATAAAATGACTTTGCGTTCTATGAATAAGAAATTTCTGATCGAGGTCCAGACTTTGACTTTTAATGCACGGATTGACAAATATGGCGCTCACCACAACTTCATTATCATCATAACTAGAGATTAGCTGAAGGTGCCAAACATACCTTAACTACTGTGCCTCAATACACAATGATAAGCGATAAGAAAAGCAAGATGTCGGAGTCTTGAAAGATATCAGAAACAGAAAGTAGCGAACAAGCTTGTGTTCATGACTTCATCATCAGGCTAATACAACCACAATAAAGCAAGTTAGAATAGACACAATGGGTTTAAATTGGGTCACTGAGGCAAAGTAACTAATCGATAGGTCTACGTGTTCGGTCTGATTGAGGTGAGGTCAAGTGAAGTGGCCTGACTGCCATTGTTAGTCGCGTTGATCTGAGGTCAAGGCAAGGTTAAAGTATGGACGAGCTTTCTCTGTGCACGTAGGTCAGGGTTATAGAGCCGAATTGCGATCGCCTCTGCTGTCGACAGCATGCGACCTCTGACTGCCCGTGTGTAACGTCCGGGGACACAGTAGATCGGTGTGAATGTGTCACGCGTTACTCTGCTTCAGTGACCCAATTTAAACCTATTGTGTCTATTCTAACTTGCATTATTGTGGTTGTATTAGTCTGATGATGAAGCCCTGAAGACAAGCTTGTTCGCTACTTTCTGTTTCTTGAAAGATACTTGGAACCGATCTAGCAGTCAACGGTTCAGAGAGGTTTGGTAACAATCGTTGGGTACAGTTGCTTGGTAACGTTTCCCTCTTGACACAAGAATTTCGTCAGACCAGATGAATCAGTCTGCAGTTGAAGTGGCATTTTATAGCGAACACGGACGATAAACTCGTTATCCGAGATTAGAGCCAAGGTGGCATTACAGTCATAGATCGTGATGTTACCTCAGGTGTTTCATTCACAGTATGAATAGTCCAGGTGTTTCTTTGTGCGTCATAGCATTGACGAATAAGCCCGACATGGTGACAATAGGAGTAGAGCTGCATTTTCCAATCTGACCCAGGCACCGACGCTCGTCAGAATGACCGGCTTAAGAAAGCTCGCCAGGCAGTAGAAAGTTCTACGTTCTCCATCCTATTCACAAAGCTGTCCGATTTGGTAATTTTCAAAGCCTCAGCAATCACCTGTTGCAGCGTCAGCCGTGAACTACTAGGCGCTGAGTTCCACTCCAGTTCAGGCTATCGCCACTTGATGAGTCCAAACCAGGACGTAACCGCGGTCGTAGTGTGCCGGTGCTGGGAGAAGCAATACACAAATATTTCCATTTCAGACACGGTCCTTACGATCGAAATGACCGAGGTTTACCTCAAAGTGAACCGTGGTCTCAGTAGAGATTGCGTGTCGCAACCAAAACACAGCGGGTTCCCCAAATTCAAGTTTGAATTCCTTTGCACTGAGACAAGCACTGGATGATGCAAAGTTACTAACACCGCGTTGTAAAAAAGTAGAAAACAATGAAAAACACCCGCGAATGATAGGTGCTAGATGCAGTAACCAGCCACGTGTGCCCGAGGAAACGGTATTAGCGGGAATGGGACCCTGAAATGACATCCGTTACGAACTACGTATACCGGCTAATCAAATCAACGCAGTGATGCTTGTAAATAAATGCCACTAACCAAGGATCGAGAAAGGAAAGTCGATAACTAGAAGTTGTCCAAAAGATGCATGTCCATTAAACACCCTCCTAACAGGCATCATCACCTAGCGCACCCCAAAGCACCCATTCGCTGCGCGTTAGGTAATCATTGTAGAAGCTTCTGGGAGCGAGTATGACAGGCTGCCATGCCTCCATACTACGCACTGACTTCACACCACTCCATCAGTCAATCAGGCTACCGCAAGAGTAATCTAGAAATGGAAGGAAGCAACCCTGCTGGGGTGCAACAAAATTAAATTTCACCATCGATTTGCACGGGGTCTCAGATTCAGTTGACACTGTTTGTACCCAGTCAGTTTGTTCATTATAGTGATCCAGGAAAAACTATCCTTCGTCTCCGCAACATGAGAAGCACTCTAAATTTCGCAGTAAGGAAAGTCCATAGGTCCAGTTTTGTGTATTTTAGACCGATGAATTGGGGATATTGACGATTCGTACACCTAGAACACTGTTTATGACAAATGTACAACCACAAATGTCACAATAACAGATGATTACTTAATGATTGTGCGCAGGTTATTAAGGAGTGACTTTCAATGTCGTTCGCTTATTTGGGAAGCTTGGAGCTAAACCTTTTGCGTTCTGCTAGGTAAAAGCATGAACAAGGGCACGAGTTGTTGGCTTATCACTTACTTTGATTCGATCATCATAGATGACCTCGGAATCGGAAATAAGTCCAAGTAGCTTCTCTCGTTGCCATTTGAGGCGCCGTCCGACAAAGAGTGACTGGATGGTGCTCAGTGTAGTGGTGAGCGCGGACAGCATGACCATTGCATCTTGCAAATCCCCCCAGATACGGGACAGTTCCATGAATCCGGGCTGAACATAAATGAACGGAAAGGAACATTTGCTTAACAGGTAACCGGCAGAAAGATAGTTATCGTATGGGATAACTCGGCAAACGCAACTGGAACAACACGGTGGTACGCAGATTGAAATTTCTATTTGCTCTTCGCGGTTATTCCTACATAGTTCAAACTTTGTGATAAGGCGCACAAAATCGACACGAGTTCAACAGCTTTGTCTCACCACAAGGCTTAATAAAGTATGTAGACTTAGCTACTTGCGGAGGTACTCGGACCTCGTGTACCGAAGGATGATAGCAAGAAACCTAATGCTGAACGCCCAGGTCAAATCACGGACACTAACTTTGGTGCTTGGGCGGACGGTGGACAGACAACAGTTGCTTCGGACGAGATTGTTAGGGTTATGGCCAACCTAAACCGAAGTGCCGTATATTGCCGAATATAAGGCGATGGTTTTTGGACAACTTTCCATTTCTGTAGTTGGTGGTCGACTTATAAAAATGGTTATACGCAATTTGAGAATATTACATGCAAAACCCACCCAGGAATTCGCTGCACCCAGCCAATGACGGATAGTATTCCAGCCGGGGATTTGAAGTGCCTGTAAGTAGACACGTTATGTTGGTGTCGAAAATGATCGGATGGCAGTAATAGAAATATACGGGTTAGCTAGAGCCAAAAACCATCACACACAATATCATGGGAAAGAACATGACAGAAAAGCACCTACCGGTAGATTTTATAGACTCCCATTTCCAAAAGTAGCACTGTGGTAATACAATTACTCCAACCCTTCGAAACTAGATTCCGAGCCAGAATCTCTACACAGTTTCTGGAACTGGTCGACTGACGTTGGGACCTCAGGGTGAATATCATCGTCATCAACTTCACTACTCTCATCATCGTCGTGTACTTCCAACATGGCATCGTCCACACTACCATTACAGATGCAGTAGCTTTTGAATGATCAGATGATAATTTCTGATGGACTATTTAGCCATGCTTCTTTCACCCACTCTGCAACGGTAACAATATCAACCGTTATCAAATTGCTACCCTTCGTCAACACCGAATCAGATGACGCCATCTACTCAGTTCACCAGATCCGAACCCAATCTTTAAAGGGATTATTGATACAGACATCCAGTGGCTGCACGATTGACGTAAGTCCGTCGGGAGTTGAAGCCATAGACGAATTCAGTTCGCCGTACTGCTTCTCTACGTGCTCAGTTCGGGGTGTTCGAAAGAAATACCAAAGCAGCATAAATGGTTTCTTTGAAATGGTACCATCTCACTTTCCCCAAACTGTATTAAGCCAGTCTAAATTGCCACCTTCGTCCATCCATCCTTTCGCATAAGCCCACATAACAAGGACGCCTTGGATCTCCGCTCCTTTGGGCAGCGTCTTAAGCTTAAAAATAATGAAAGGTAACGACCGGGAACCATCTGCCATAAACCCCAAAAAAACTGTGAACCGTGTCATCTTGTGTCTCGTGTCAACAAAACATGTGTTAACGCCTTTCTGCTACACCGCACGATTTGAAGGCATACCAAAGCACACGGGGGTTTCGTCCATAATTCCAATTTGCGACAGTTCAAATTCGTATTGTTTTTTTCAGCTGAAGCACGAACCTTTGAAAAGATCCAAGTTTGATGTTCAATTCCTTCGGCAGTTGCTGGACAAGTTCTGTGTGGATCCGTAGACACGTGTCGAATCGGTTCAGAAAACGATTGCACCATAACGAGGAAGCAACAAAATGCACCGGTTTTGCTGGCTGGAATTCTGGATTTTTAACATTGTGAGCGGCTGATTCCAATGTTGGTTCGGGTAACAATTAACCCACTATGTCGTGACTTCAAAAACCACTGCGCTAAATGTTCCTCCAGGGCAGGAAACATGATTTTCCAAACGCTTGTTGCTCTCTTGCGTACAGACATTCGTGACCAGCCTAACTTTTCCTTTCGTTATTCTCTCACATGTTATTACTTCATATTCTAATGGTGTGCAACTATACAATTATTAGAATGCTCGGCAAAAGCAATAAGTTTCATTGTAAAGCTCCTAGTATATGGATATCGCTTCTATTGAGACAGCTTTGCCCGTTTCCACGGTTTTGGAATATCGCACGAAATGTGGGCATATCGCCTCTCAGCTGGATCATGTGAGGCCGCGTTAGCGCTACTTTGGGCAGTGGTTCAAAGCGCTTATACAGTCACTACGGCGGAACAGGGCCGACGACCGTATTCCAGAATGGGAAGCACGGTGCATGGACGTACCGTGGCTCGCTTAGGTTGAATGCCGGTCATTTACGATTATTGTCCACACCATCCCGTAGCACTCCAATGTTTAGCGGAAGTGCGCAAACCGATGTACTGCATATGGTGCGTATGCATACCCATACTTTGTTCTCTAACCTTAGTTGTGAGGACATATGGCATCCTCGGCAGACGACTGGCTTGGATCAGGGATCAGTTGAGTTCAGGTGTAGTGATAGTCAGGGACAGGCAGGCAAGCCCCGTTAGCCTTTTCGGTCGTTAAACGAGATAAGCACAAACAGCCGCATTACGCTTCCGGCGATAGGTAGCCGTCTGCTAACTTCGCACTGAGTGCTGAAGGTCTCGACCGACCATGGGCACTGGGACGATCGATGCTTATCAGCCTGTCTCGCTGGGCAAAGCGAAACCGCCTAATACCCAACCTAGTCGGCTTAGACAACCTGAAACGTGCTACCACAAGTGCGGAGTGAATGTGCGCACGTGTGAACCGGGTGTTTTGGATTAGGATAGTGCGAAAGTACCTAGCGCGTCGTGTTACTGTCATTGAATCAGTGCCTCAGGCTATGAAGCACAAAGAGTCACTCCATCAAGCACGCATCTGTGATCGGGATAAGGTAGGGTGCCTGTTCATCAGCGTGGACTGATTACTCTGCTGTATGGTGAATGCGGATTAAACGCTGCATGCACGGCAATAAGATACTATGCTATGAAGGCAGAAATGGATACCGTAACGGCCCAGTAAGCGCTTCAAATAGTGAAGAACTACGAGAAAACTGGGTGTGTGGGAAATCCGAAGGAATTTTAACGGCCGTGCATCGTTACAGACGACTGTTCACCTTTCGCAGCAATCAGTCAATTATCGAAAAGTCAGGATCTCAGCATGCGTTTGGTCGCACAGCAATGTGACATGAGTCGATTAGAGGTACACCCGGTAATAAAGGAACGAAAATTTTGTGCAGTCATGATATACCAAGTACAGGTTTTGAACCCTTGCCTTCCGGAGAAACGGAATGAATTTGGTCGCTGATTTCTGGACCACGGGGACATTCATTCTGTCATCTTTACAGATGACGCACTGTTTCACTTGTATAGAACAATGCAACAGTATTCTTGGGCTGCCAGTAACCCACGAAGATATACAGCATCGCATAGGCACCACAGTGTCAAACTAATGGTTTGGGCTGGATTCATAAGCCGGAAAATCTTGGGCCGATATTTCTTCTCCGGGAATGTGACCGGTAAGTTGCTGTGTTGAAGTACTAAAGCCTTATCTTTTCCTAGCATCGTCGTACTTGGAAATGCTGCAGACATTTGTGCTTCCACAGCTGGAAGCCGAAGGGAATGCAGTACCATTTGTAGCAGCAGGATGGTGTACCTGCATATTCTGCAAAAACGGTGTGTGCTTACCTCACCAACAAATTTGACCATCGTTGGATGGTACGCGGTGTGCCAATGGAGTGGCCTGCTCGCTCACCAGATTTGAACCCCTGGATTTCTTTCTATGGGGCCATCTGAAGCGAAGAGTGTGCCAAATAAGGCCACGTACATTGGACCAACTGAAAGAACACCTTGTGAAAAACTGTCGCGCGAGCACGAGTGATACATTGGAGTAAGTGCTCACCAACTGGATCAAGCGGTTTCTGCACAGCGAGCAGAACACCGGTAAACATAGTGAACATATCTTTCACTAACCTAGATGATTGTTCAGATATGTTTCCGTAAGGATACTTATCCTCTTTCACAAATGCGTTAGTGACTAAATTGGTCCAGTGGCAATTGGTGCCCATAATGCATTCGGTTGGATAGAATTCTTAAATTCCATGGCTATCATTGAGCACATCACAGCGTAGGCACTGAAACGGTCGATGGCTACTTATTGCGGAAGCACTGGGTCGCAATGAGCTGAGGTTCGTCCCTGCTTAATGCAAGGTCGAAAAAGGATTAGGAACTCGGCGATATAGACATTTGTTATCGAATCGTAAAATCGTGCTAGCTTAAGGCACAGTGAAATTACTCCAGCTAGGGGAGGGATATGGTCGCCAACGCAGACATCGATTCGGGAAGGCGTATGTTCGCGAAGTGTTATTCTACTTGTTGGCTTAAACACACGTAGTCACTATTCGAACAGCCAAGCTTCATAAGTTGCCTAGGTACATAATGAAACTATATTTTTATACCATTTCACATGTTCCACCCAGGCAAACAGGGGAAACATTGGGGGTGATTTCAACAGTTATTAATTGGAAACTACAACTACCGTGCCGGAACGATCCAAGGCCTATTTACAAGAGCTGATCTCTAGCACATCTATATACAACCACGTCAACGATCCCATCAGGTTCAGAACAGCGAATAAATTATCAATGTTAGTTCTAGTGCTCACCAGCGAGGAGCTCATGGTTGATGAGCTAAGTGTATGCAGTCCACTGGGTCGATGCGCTCACGTGACGTTACTGTTCGACTATATTTGCTACGCCGAATACCCAGATGCAGAGCCAGAAAAGATGCGATCTATTACGCATTATCGGGTTTAGTCTGCATTCGTTGAGAATGCTCGTTATCCACTCATGACTGAATGCACCCCAGTGATTGCCTTGGAAAATGTTTGTAAACCATCACGTCACTAGTCACCAAAGCATCAGAGCCAAATTCTTTTCACCATCCAATCAAGGCAAAATTATTCCTGAGAAGCCGAACACGCGAAATTTTAGCCTTGAGTGATCACACATGGTGCCT